CTCCTGGTGTGTCAACCACACCACTCAGCTTGGTGTCATCTCCCCCTGTCCTTATCATGATCCAGGAGCCTTTTGTTATGTTTTTCTCCACCTGTTCAGTTGAAGAGGGGAGTGATAGCATGGCTTGGCGGGCACCTGGCAGCCAGCCAGGGTCAACCCACCTCACCCTGTGAGTAGCTAATAGTGATATGTATCTTACCCTTGAGAATGAATTCAAAGATTAAGGAAGGAGAAATGCAGAGGAAAACTAGAAGCAGGTGACAGTGACAAAGACAAAAGACTTTATTAATATCCAACTTTTGACTTTTTTCCTTGATAAAGAAGAAATCCTTATCAGAGTGCCTACCTTTTCAAACATGCTGGAGGTGGTATGTAAACAGTCTTTACTTTTGCAAATTAAATAGATTAAAATCAATAGAGGTATTCCTATAAATAACAGATGCAGGACTGGACACATCATTAGATCATGAAATTTGTCTTTATATTAATGCTAATATAAAGGAACCTGTTTTACCGTCAGAAGCCCCTGATGTGACAAAAAATACATAGCAAATAATTCTCTGATTTTACTATTAGAGTACAATCCCATTAGCTCCAGTGAAGAAACTCAACTTCTGCCACTGTAAGTGCTACATGATGTTGAAGAAAGGATTCTTCTATTGCCAAGACAGGAGCGTTATAAAGCAATGATTATAAAAATACCGAAAAGAGTAAAACTCACAACTGTCTTACCTTGAACTTTCTTGAAAACTCTTGTACTCATAAATTTTAAAAATCTATCTGCATAAAAACTTGGTCGGTGAACTGAAACAGTATCCTACAAGATTGAAAAAGGTCTCAGTCACATTTTCCATAAGTAAAACACAAGTAAATTGTCAAGAAAGAAGCTGGACACCTCAGGTAAACTATATCATACATTTCAGGCATACACAAAACAGGTGAATCCTAAGAAGTTTTTCTTTTTTAAAGGTTAATTCTTCAAGAACTTTTAAGTATTTCATTTATGAAATTATGAGTTATGAATACTACAGCCATATTCTGCAAAATCTTCCTAGCATTTGAAATGCTTTTTTCACATTATGTACATTTTTCAGTTACAGATTCATCAATGTTCTGCTAAGTGGCCGTTGTCTTGTGTAAGTTATATGGACAAGCTGATCATTTTAGTTGCCTTTTGAAAGATCAACAAATAAATCAGAGCATGTACTGGGAAATGGACCTAAAACATTTCAGCAAGAGCCAAAACCACATGGTGATGGTAGACTACAAATATACCAAAGCTAGCTCTTTCCTGGTCAACACAAGTCAAAGTTCCACTAGATGAAATATCAGCAGTTAAAAAAAAAACAACACAAATCTACCTACCCCATCATAAACAAGAGCTTTCCAAGAATGTTCCAGTTTCTTCATTAATCTAAGCATATAAAACAAAATCAGAACTGCTTTATAAAATTCTCACATTTGTAAGTAATTTCAGAATAGCTTATTCAATAAAAACTTGAAACTGAACTTACCTATAAGACTGGAGAATATCAATAATACCCATAAACAGAAGCAGCTTTTCTCCTTTATGGCTTTTAGCTGGAATACCTCCCATTCTGAGAGAAACAACAAAAACGTAGTTAGATTATCTTTTAAGGCATCTCTGATCATCAGTTAGCAGGTGAACTGTACCCACTTGCAAACCCAAAGAAATAGGCACAACATTAAAACTAGATGCCACAGTGCAAAGTCAGTTGTGAGTCACTTAGCATATGATTGATTTTAAATAGCGAACACAAAGTATCTGGGATCCAGTCGTAAATATCCATTATAAACAAAGAGTATTTTAGGATAAATTTTAGATAGAATTGGAAATATATAGATGACCTGAAAATTGAAAAAAGCAAACGTCAGTTTATTACTAAGGAAAATAAATAATTTTGCCTAGCTAAAGGAGAATTTTGTCTCTTTATTGATCACACGTAACAGAACTGTAGAAAGCCTGCACATTACTCCAAGTATGAAAAAGTTGTTTGGTATATTTTTTCACTAAAAGTTAAATATGTGCTTTTCCAAAATTTCTTTACAGACTGATTAGTGACAGAAAAAGTAACAGTATCAAGCTGAGAAGCCTGACTGCCTGGATCTCCACTTGGGTCAGAGTATTTACTCAGCCATGACCTTGAGGAACAAGATGCTCATCCTAAGACCCTGTCTTCCTACTCCACCACCTAGAAGAAAGGGTCCATTGTTTTTAGAACCAGAAACTGAAATCCCAATTTCAGTTGGGCAGCTTCTGTTGACACTGACGGACCCATTAGAAAACCAGAAGAAAAAGAGATTGAAGATGCAACACATGCAATACCTCCAAATCTTTTTTAACAGTTTGAGAAACAAACAAAAGACATAGTTGAGAGTATATTCCCCATTCTGCTGCTACAGCAGAGTAGTCCCTTCCCCTGACAAAACAGGGCTACCATCTACTTAACTTTTTTTTTTGGGGGGTGGAGGGGTGTGGTGTTATTATTCTAGGCACAAAATAAACCATGTAAGAACAAGTGGAGTTTAAATTACTGTAAAACCATGTAACTCCAGCTCAATTAACTGGTCAGTTAAGTGGTTTACAAAACTATATTCTGTCATCTTTTCCTGGAAGCTGTGACTCTAAATTCAGTCTGGTACAAGTTATTGCTCCTGGGTATCCATTCTCATCCTCATGCTTGTACGGCCTTACAATGAACCACAACAGAAGACTGACCTAGGGGTCTTTTTTGTAAGACAGCTTATTTTCATCCACCTCAGTGAGGTTTGCCACACTACCAGTTATGCGAAGTCCAGAGAGGAGGTAGTGCAAGGTGCCAAGGAAGGACTCAACTGCTGCATTAGGCTTGCAGCAGCATTACTACACTGCTCAGGATCTGGGCAGCACCACATTAGCTCAAGTGATGTGAGAGCTCAGGGTGGGTTGCCATACATAGTAACCACAGGGACTTTCTCAGATGACCTATATAATCAGCTTTGGCTTTCAGTTAAAAAACAAACCCAAAACCAATACCCCCCAAAACTGCCAGTGCGACACCTCTGCCACCATACAAAAGCATGCACCATCTTCTGTGTGAATGTGAGTAATGCTGTAAAAAAATGACTGAAATTCAGCTCTAATTTATATTCCAGAGCTGTAAACATCTGGAAACTCTATAAATGCTAAATATCATAATTCTCCCATTTGTTTGCTGTAGGTTTAAGCACATGTTTCTATATCATTAGTTGTATTTATGTAGACAGTTCCCTTGAGAACGAGAAGAGTAAATCCATAATATGAAATTAAGCCCTCATTATAATGAAGGACTGATTATATAGAATGAGAATGGTGAACATAATGCTCTCACTAACACCGAACGTATTTCAAGGGAAACAATATAATAACTATCGTTTGTATATTTAAGTTTCTACTGCAGTTTTTGTTAGGAAAATAAAAGGAAAACATCAGTTCTTAATCTCAGGAAATATCGTACATGGGTATGACTGTACTTCAGTGGTTGATGCTACAGTTCTACATGTTGAATATACTACTTTGAAATGAAAATAACCACTGGAGGAATATACATTTCAATGTTAATGAACACTTTTTGCTTATGGCCCATCAGGCTGCTTCCAGTTAAAATTAGATTATACTTGGGACTCTTGTAATAGCTGTCTCATAACATCTCTTGTGCATGCATAAGTCACTCTGAACTAACCAAATTTGCTATCATGAATTTAAAAATGATCAATCTACTAACCAACGTTTTAATTTCCTGCTCTGCAGCAAATCCTGATGGTGTAGCTTTTGGGGGGAAGGAAAAAAAAAAAAGGCTTAATCTTTCAATTCCTGAAATGCAGTATGCTCTTCAATGTTTTTACTCTTAATACCAAGCAGCACAGACTGAAGAAACAGAATGTGCAAGTTTTAATAGTAACCTTAAGAGCAAGTTATGGCACTTACGTGTTTGTTGTCTCTGTGGTGACGGAGTCCCCTGACTTCCCAGGGCCCTGTATAGACTCCATGGCTGTGGAATAGAGAACTTTCTGCCCTCCGGGACGTTTCGCATCCGATGTGCTCTGGGAACTCTCTCCCTCTTTTTCCTTCACGTTACTGTTCAGTATGTGGATTCCCAGTAGCAGACTGTAATCCATGATCTTAAAACTTTCTAGAACCTATCAACAGAAAAGAAACAGCTGTACAGAAACAAAAAAAGACTAGATACAATATGAATTACACAGCAGCATTTTGAAAACCAAAGTAAAAATAGGCCTTCAAAGCACAAGTTTCTCTTATTAGGAAAATGTGTGAAATTATAATGAAACAAAAATCTTTTACTACCCTACATAAGTCAAAGTGCTATTTATCTAATTAGCTCAATACTCTTCTTACAATTGGGAAAGAAAGATGCATAGCTGAAATGTAACCCAATGTTATTTTGTAGCTAAGGAAGATATGTCCAGTCAGCATCTTTTTTATCTTTAACAAATAATAAGTTAATAGTTCCACCATATACTTATGAACTACAGATATTTTTAGAGTCACCTCTGATGCATGTTTTAGACCTTACTGAGCATTTTTGCCTAGACTACTCTCTACCCATCCCTTCCACCTCCTGTTTATAATTGCGAAAGCATTCTTGGAGAACTTTCAAATGTCAAAAAAACTCATTTGCTACCACCTTCTCATTAACAGCTGATGGGATTTGGGTACAAAACCCATGCATCTCTCTATTAGGCTAACCAGGGCCTATCTAAACTGCAAAGGCCATTTTATTTCTGGACTGTGACTTAAACAACCAGCCTTCTAGCTCTACCAACCATTTTTGCCTCTGTCAGTAGGCGAGTTCCCTTTCTTCTTTCATGCACATATACTGTCATAAGTTTCTAGTCAGCAACATCATTATGAAGTCAGGCATACTGCCATTAAAAGGAAATAGAGTTCAAGTCAATATGCAAACGTGAACTAAAACAAGCTGTGATCACATCTAGTAATATAACCAAACTGTTAGCAGACAGCAGCTGTGTTAAATATCTTTTACTTCTGGGTAGGCTGAAAGAAAAAATATAATACAATTCATCCTCTGCAAAAATACTTACCTTAGTAGTACAGTCAGCAACACTGTTTATGCAAAGTCAGATTACAGCAGCTAGTCAGGCTTGGAAAAAGCATTGCCACTTTTATTTTACAGTTACAAACATAACTGCTGACAGCTCTGCCTTCAACCTATTCTTCACCACCTCTGAACTAGATTACATTAGACATATTATGACTTAACTGCACTAATTACATAACCTACGTCTAGGACTGAATGTAGCCTCATGAAAGGCTGTGGTATAATGTGCTGCTGCTTCTTCCACAGGGACCTTTTACGTGATAAAATTAATCTTTCTGACTGCATCAATTCACCACTGTCACTTAAACCCATACTACTTGTACTATACATTGGACTAAAAATATCTGACTGTTGATGACTTTGTTCTAGGATTAGTGAAAAACATTATAAAAACAAGTAGCTATTTTGTTATTTCAGTTCATTATAAAACTGAAACACCTACTCCTCCAATGGATTAGCTGCAGTACATATTTTTACAAACACTACATAGCATATGAACTCTAGCCCTTGTCCCCCAGACACCCTATTCATGGTCCTACTCAGAGGCAGGATTGTATAGTCTACAAAGGATCTTCAGGATATCTTAGTATGATCTGCCCCTCTGTCTGCCTACCGGTTTGATACACAGTTCTGACTACCTCCCCTTAGAAATTTGATAACCAAACTAGCCACTCCTAATGCAAATACACATCTTTTGACCAGATCTAAGCATGTTTTACTCCCCTGTTTGTTTCTAAGGAAAATTCTGGTAAGAAATAATTAACCAGAATAAAAAGGAAGAATCGCAAACATCAGCATTCAGCAAAAACTTACTTTGTGTCAAACTCTTCAGTCTGTATTGACAGAAATTTCACCTCAGTCAGGGGGATTTCCAGCTGAATATATCTGAAGGGTTCTCACATATATGTCATCATTAATATTTAAAATACCAAATCAGCATTATTTTCAAATGTGTAAGTAACATTTTGCACACACAGTTGTACAAATTAATCTGGTTCACCACAGAAAAGTTACAGAATGCAGTATATCAAGCTATTTCTGAACATGCAGCATCCTATGAGAACACAAAAAGCCGTAAGACTTTTCCTGGGCTGAGGGTTGCTTGCAAGTAGCTTTGGTGATTTTAGATGGAACTGCTTTTGAGAAATGGCATCAAGTTTTTGCTACAAAGGTACCAAAATGAGATCCTAATCTAATGAAAAAAAACACTCAAACAAATCACAGTATTAAAAGGGTTACAGTCACAGCAAAATGAGAAAGCCCTGTAAAACACCTCATGTCATCCATGTGAGATCACTAGAAATTGACATTAACTCCCAGAAATACAACCCTTGTGTAGTTAAAGTGAGAGAAATTCAATCCTTACTCATGTAACCACTCTGAAATGCACCTTGCTAGCAAAATGGCACTGGGAGATTGGCACAAGAATATTCTTACTTGTTAGCACACAGCAAGGTTAAGTGCTGTATTTGATAATGACAAGTAAACATTCAGTTCATTAACTCGACGTTAAATTGTCATCTTGTTTGCATTTATATATGTATTATGTCACTAGCTACACAGATTCTGTCAACACAGCATTGTCACTTGATCACCAAGTACTGCTTGCAAGGCTGGCTTTAGCTGCACTGACAACTTCCAGATGACAAGCGTCGTTCATCCACTTCTAGCCTTAAGCACTATTTTGCTTTCATACCACATAAAAAACCCAGTGAAATGGCATCACAAAATATGTTGTTTCAGAACATGGAAAAATAACTCCCTGAATCAGAGCTTCTTTTCTCTGAGCTAATGAGATGTTAAAGCACTCTGTGATTCATCTTAGACATGGTTACACTCACCTATCTCAGCCAGTGACTAATACAGCAAAGCAAGTATTTCTGCCATGGAATTTCATTTTTATTTTTAGATGCAGCCAGCTGAAGCTGTGTACGGTCTGACAGAGAAATCTGCATTCACGATGCTAACCATGCAAAACAACTCAAGTCAGCAGGTCATTTTCATAAAAAAATCAAGGAAAATGCTACTCAAAAAAATATAATTTCACCAGCTTATGAAATGCAAAAACTAAAAGGATAACCATGCAAGCAAGCACTTCCTCACCTACAGACATTTTGGAAAAGGGACATAGGAGCTAACATAAAGACAACTGATTTTACGCTGAATCAATAATTACTGCCCAACATAAGGAGATATATAAAAATCCCACAACACAAAGGACTATCTTGCAAAATAAGCATATCTTAGAAACAAGTGCACAAATGTCAAGTGCCTAGTGATGGGTCTGGTTTAGAAACAACCTATCCCAAGAAAATAAATCACCAGCTCCCCCAAAGCATATGAGGAGTCACTTCCCATTTCGATAGAATTCTTGAAACATATTGTTAACTAACACTCCTAAAAATTACAATCTGGTTTCTGATTTTCAAAGCAGAAGTAGCAAGAAATTTGGATTTTCAATTGATACTACAGGAATGATAATACATAAAGATACAAGAGATCTGCAGTATCATTCCATGTCCATTTTCCTCAAACTGCCATTTCTGACAAAGAGGCCCTTCATCTAAGATTAACACATTCTCCACCTCCACGCCATGCCATCTATTATTTCTGATGTACGCTGCAGTTCAATACTTCTTCAGGTTGTGCCAGCAGTACTGTTTGTAAGGACATGCTGTAGAATTGGTCACTGAAATTATGTGGGTTAAAGAATAACCTGCGTAGACCTTTGAGGTAGAAAAAAAGACAAGAAAACCAACAAAACCACCTCACTACTAAAGGTTTTGAAAGATCCAGTGAATAAATTTGATCATACAAGGTCTGTCACAGTTGCTTCAGCACAAACCAGGCATGCATTCATCCCATAAAGCTTGAGAGTTTTGCAGCAAGTAGCTAAAACAGCAGTGATGAAAATAATACCCAGACCTGAAACTTAAGAGATACGACCCTCTTTGTCTTCAACTTTTAATTTCCTCATCTTTACAGGTTTCTTTGTTAGTCAGGCCATTAATGCCACTTTAAAAATGTGATTTTCTTAGAAAAGTCCATAGTGTTCTTTGCTAATATAATAAAGAGAAAATGCAGAGTCTAAAAAGCCATTCTATTCTCATTATGAAAAACATCTTGAAATTATTTTGTTCTTAAAAACCACATGAGCACAATTGGATTAATTGTCATTGCTTCTGTAACAGATATTTTGCAATACAGGTATCAACATATTAATTGTTCTAATGTTAATTTACAAATGAAAAATGGGTAACCACATAGGTTTTTTTATAACATTCCTCATCACTCGCATTAAATTCTTATAAATGTAGAAAGCTCCCCTAACAAACTATGCCTTTTGCTTTTCCAGCAACAGGATCATTTCCAACCATTGCTACTAAACGTCTGAAAAAGGAAAAAAAAAGAAAACAGAAACCGTAACAGTACTGCATCAAACTAAATAAAAATAATTCTGGTAAAGTGCAACTTTGGAATAAATAGGTTCAATTTCCATTTAAAATTATCAGAAGGGAAATCCCATAATACAAAAAGCTGAATTCTGTTGTTTGGTTTCTAGTTCTGCTTATAAGTCTTAGCAGCAATGCATTTTGTCCTACATGTCTTAAAAAATGTTAATCAACGAGAAAGAAAAAAAAACCCATGACTTGAACTCCTACTCCAACCACCAGACAAAAAATGATGTTCACAAAATTTAATCCTCCAGAGAGTGTGGAGGTATTAGCTAAATAACCCTGACAATAGTCCTATGAGGCATCTAATAATTCTCTTAATTTTCTAATCCAAAAATAGACTATAAAAATTAAGTATTCTGCCACAGAGGGAACAACACCGAGTTAATCTTCAACCATCAGGAAAGGTTTTGGTTTCCTCATCTGCAGTAAGACATGACTTAAGGAAAGAAGGAAACAGTAAAGATGATCTGAATCTCACTTCTTAGTAATAGCTGTATTTACAGAGAGAAGAAGAAACTTATTTTTCCACCCTCATGAATTTGGAAGAGATATCCCCAGCAAGAAATCATAAAACACGCATACTTTGCCTACTAGTAGGTCA